CTTTCCCGCCAACATTTCCTCCCTTATCCTCCCTCATTCCCCTGAACACTCCAAATCCAATTCCCCAAAACTCCTCATTCTCGCCGTCGTGTCCGTCCTCTGCGCCTGTCTTATCGCCGGCATTTTACTCTTTTTGTACTTCCGTCGCCGTCGTCTGAAAACTAACCGCCCAGAAAACGACGTTAAGAGTAATGGTCACAGTAACAGTAACAACAACAGTACGCGTTCCTACGCGCCAAATGTCGAACCTATCAACACACGGAAGCTCAGAACCACGCGTACTTCTAGTTCGGAGTTCCTTTACTTGGGCACTTTGGTAAATTCACGCGGCGGCATTGACGATTCAAGTACTACCGATTCTCGCGTTAATAGTTGTGTTTCGCCGGAGCTTCGGCCCCTACCGCCGCTCGCTCAACAGGCTAGTTTTAGAGAGAATCATAATGAAAATGCTGACGTGGCGTCGAGTATGGCGGAGGAAGAGGAGGAGTTCTACTCGCCGAGAATTTCGTTGGGTGGAACCGGTACCGGGTCCGGTTCGAGACGAGAGTTCGCATCCCTGGCTAATGGAGAGAGTATCGGAGGAAGAAACAGCGACTCCAGTAGTTGTTCGTGTTCGTCCTCGAGTTCTCGATCTTTATCGGCGAGTATTTCTCCACCGATAAGTTTGAGTCCCAAAAGATCGGAGTCGGGGCCGAAATCTCCCGAGATAACTCAGCCCCCTCCGATACAATCAGTTTTTGCTATGGCATCTCCTTTGCAATCATCCCCAGATCGAAATGTGCAGTCTCCGTTACTTTCTATAGCTTCTACTTCACCGGACACGGGATTATCACCGTCAAGATACAATCTTTTGGATCGAAATGTAATGTCTTCCGCTTCTACATCACCTGATAGAGAGTCTTTATCATCCGATATATTGTTGCAGAAGACCCAAGAGTTATCACTAAGGTTGAACAATGCTAGTTCACTTTCTTCGGCTTCTACTTCTCCAGATAGAGTGTCGGAGAAGAACCCAGATGGAAGTGTACGGTCTTCGTTCTCTTTCTCACCAGATAGAATTTCAAAGAAAACCGGAAATGAATCACCGAGAAAATCCGATATTTCTGGTCAAAGTAAGCAGTCTTCTCTATCTTCTTCTCCCGAAAGAATCTCAGATCAGTCATCGCATAGAAGTTCAAAGAAAACTGATTCTCCAAGAAATTCCGATATTTCGGATCAAATTAGCCCAGACGAGTCACCGAGAAGTTCAAGTGTGTCGGATCGAATTTCGTCTCCTGTAAGAAGAAACAATGCTGTTCCAGCGCCGCCGCCACCTCCACCTCCACCTCCACCGCCGCCTCTACAAAGACACTGGGAAGGTCCAGTGGTTTCAAGTTCAACACCAGTTGGTCTTGGTCAAACCATGTCTAAGCCACCTGTTTTGATACCGCCCTCAAGGCCTTTTGTGATCCAAAATCCAACAAAAGTTTCTCCTGTTGAGCTGCTGTCAGGTTCTAATTCTGTGGAGAATAACGTCGAGGAGAGTTCGAAACCAAAGCTGAAACCTTTACATTGGGATAAAGTGAGAGCTAGCTCTGATCGTGAAATGGTTTGGGATCACCTTAGATCAAGTTCTTTCAAGTAAGTTACAGCAATATTTCTGATTTTATCTTATTACTTTTTATGGTTCAAAGTTGTGTTTTTGATATGATGGTTTAGTTATTTTTATGTTCTTTTTTATTAAGCTTGTACAATTGGGTTGATCGATTGCAGATTGAATGAGGAGATGATCGAAACATTGTTTGTAGTAAACACTCCAAACTCAAAACCAAATCAAACAACTCCGCGCTCGGTTCTTCCTTCACCAAACCAAGAGAATAGAGTACTTGATCCCAAAAAGTCGCAAAACATTGCAATTCTTCTGAGGGCATTGAATGTCACCGTGGAGGAAGTTTGTGAAGCCCTTTTAGAAGGTAAATTGAAGTTGGTCCTTTTATTTTAACTCCTAGAATGTGAATTTGGTGTGACCCATCCTGGAAAATTTATGTTGATTTGATGGAGTTTGATAAAGTATCAGATTGATACAACATTAACAGAACTGGATTTTAGTAACATTGAAAGTCATATTTGTATGTTCATTGTCAAATTGATACAGTTGTATTTTGTTATATTTTGAGGGTGAATTGCTAGTGTCACTTTCTCACATCACAAGTTTCATGTTGTATGTTACCAAAAAGGCGTAGATGCAGAAAGATATTTATTTCTTGAAACAAATTGCTGCTGTTTTCAAAGGTATCTCTGTTTAATTTCATGCATTCAGAAATGACCTTATCCAATTTGTTCTCATAAATCAGAGAAAAGACTTCAAGTTGGTTGTTTTAAATTTTAGCTTCAATAAATTGCTACTTTCTAATGTTGTTATGTTGAGGTTCTTTGCTCACTCCATGTAATTCAGTGTTCATTGTCAACCCTAGATTCAACCCTGTCCAGTGTGCTAATTGTACTTGGTTGTGCATTTCTAGTTAACTTTCCTTAATATCTTGAAATGTATGGTCATAAAATATTTCTTGAAGACTATCACATTGCAAAATTTTTTAGCACAAGAAGATAACTGAGTTATATTGCTGCATGATGCCTCTTTCAAGAACTAATTTAATCTTTCATTAAATTCATCTTTCACTGAAACCAAATAGTTCCTTGAATATTTTTCTCTGTGAAGGTTTCCTGTCATTGGGATCATTCCTAATTTTGAGTTATTTAGTTTGCAACTAAAGCGATATCTATTTTGTACAGGTAATGCAGAAACACTTGGAACTGAACTTCTTGAAAGCTTATTGAAGATGGCTCCAACCAAAGAAGAAGAACGAAAGTTGAAAGAGTACAGAGATGATTCGCCCAGCAAATTAGGTTCTGCAGAGAAGTTTTTGAAGGCAGTGCTTGATGTACCTTTTGCATTTAAAAGGGTTGATGCAATGCTTTATATAACCAACTTTGAGTCTGAGGTTGAATACCTCAAAAAATCATTTGAAACTCTGGAGGTAAGTCAAATTATTTCATCTCTCTCTGACTCTATCTCCCCATTGAATTACTTTGTCTCAGTCATTTCTGAGCTAATGCAGATAATATCCTAAAATGGCCTGGGTTCTCATGTTAGTTCTTAGATTACTGCCAGTTTCATTAATTGGTATTCCAACATCACCATATAAATCTGGGTTTCTTGATTCTCTCTGTCTCTCTCTCTCTCTCTGCTGTATGTGCTTAGGTATTCTTGCCATCCTCGCCCATGAAAATGTATTTTAATATGCATATTGTTCATATGAATTATTATTATTCGGCTGGGCCACTTGGTGACCTGGAAATTTCTGAAAGGCACGTTTAGTGGTGTCTAGAGAACTATCTGGTTCATGTCCTGTGGTATTTGTGAAGGCAAGAGAGATCTTCTTCATGTTTCCAGCAAATTAAAATGTATTATATTGTTGCTTATATGGTTGGCCAAGTCTCATGGTTTTCTTTTTTCTTCTGTTCAGGCTGCCTGTGAGGAATTGAGAAATAGTAGAATGTTTCTGAAGCTTCTAGAGGCTGTACTTAAGACTGGGAACCGCATGAATGTTGGGACAAACCGTGTGTGCTGCTCTGACGCTTTTAAGCTGACACACTCCTCAAGCTTGTTGATGTCAAGGGTCCGATGGAAAAACTACCCTACTGCATTTTGTTGTACGAAATTATAGAACTGAAGGTGCTCGTCTTTCAGGTACTAGCCAAAATCCTGATGATGCCAAGTGCAGGAAGCTAGGCTTGCAAGTTGTACTTGGTCTAAGTTCAGAGCTCACCAGTGTGAAAGAATCTGCTGCCATGGATTCTGACGTGTCACATGGATGTTCCAAGCTTTCTAGAGGCCTCGCAAACTCAGCGAGGTTGTCGATTAATTGAACACAGGGTCGGATGAAAGCGCAATAAATTTTCAGAGTCATGAACAGGTTTATTAGAATGGCCGAGGAGGAGATTATAAGGATTCAAGCCCAAGAAAGTGTTTGCTCTGTCTTTAGTGAAGGAGATTACAGAATACTTTCATGGAAACTCAGCAAAGGAAAAGCTCATCCCTTCAGAATCTTCATGGTGTGAGAGACTTTCTTACTGTTCTTGATCGTTTTGCAAGGAAGTTGGTAGGATAAATGACGAACAATAGTTAGTTCTGCCCATAATTTCCAGTTCCAATAAATCCAATGCTACCAGTTCCAGTAAATCCACGGTACCACAAAGTTTCACCGGATTTCCGGGGAGACAGCAGTACAGTTCCTCTGAGAGAGAGCACCTCTTAGTATTTTGCTTGTATTAGGATATAACCCCTGTTGCACTCTCCAGAAACTGCCAAGAATTGGTGGTTGTGCCAGTTGGTTGGAGCTTGTCTGGGCTTGCCAGGTTTATGTAATTTATTAATTTTTTTGATACCCTTTTTTTTTTTTTTTTTTTTTTTTTATTTTTTTTTTTTTTTTTTTTTTTTTTTTTTTTTGGTTTCCGCGTTGTTTTTTTTTTTTCTTTTTTTTTTTTTTTTTTTTTTTTTTTTTTTTTTTTTTTTGTTTTTGTATAAATCCATGTAAAAGATTTTGGGAAAAACTGTGTCCTATAGATAAATATACAGAGGAGTTCTTTGAGAAGAATAAAGCAGGCAGTTGAATTAGTTGGATGTCTTTGTTAAGTATAGATCTCTCAAACACTTTTAACTCTTTTTGGACCTGCCAAATAGGTTCAGACTTCGGAAGGCCATAAATCCTGTTACATAAACTTTAAAAAAGCCTACATCATAAGGACATTTTTCTAATGCTGGTTGACAGATATACTCATTTTAAGACAAATAAGTAAACACCAGAGACTTATAGCTGTGAGAGCTTGCACAAATGTGGTCCTCATGGTTAATATCTAATATTGTTTCCATACAAATTTGATCCTTTCATGAGTGAACGGCTGCAAACTAAGGATTCAGGGATTCATGAATATGTGTCGTTGATGCCAACACTTGTTAATAATGCAAGTTTATTCTGTCTAATAAGTAAACAGATCTTTATCAGGAACTTAATAGACATTGAAGTGGCATCAAATCAGTAGAATTCTTAGTTGGATTATCAAGTGTTAAAACTTTTCCAGGTTTTCCAGGACTGGAAACTTCACTGCCTGGAATCTCATCCAACTAAATACTATGTCTCCTTGTTCATGCATTGAGCTTTGCCTGACTGCAAGGCCTCAGCATCAATGCGCTCGAGTATACGACGAGCTTCTTCCTCTGTACCTGGAACCACGTTCCGAATCCTAAATCCATTTGTTCTGGCCTTTGCCTCTGGACAGACAGTGAATGTGAAATAGAATGTATTTGAAACCTGTTCCAAGGAAACAAAAATGCATAAATTATTAGCAATAAGATACATAGCAAAAAGAGTAAAAACCAATTGCCCTATGTCTTTTCAAATGCAGTCAACAGGGGCTTACCTCACTTGACCTGATCTCAGGTCTTGTAACATGAGCAACGACTTCAATGTTGATTAGAGGCTGATCAGAATTCTCAAGTTCTGTGTACAGAACACAAGACTTGAAACGCAGAAAGTCTCCAACATCCACCTGATCATTGGAAATATAGACTTTAGAGTAAGATATATCAACAATTGCGCTACAAGAGATCAAATAAACCTACATTCAGAAAGTTGATGCCCACTAAACATCCCAATTAACATAAGGTAAATAAAATCAATTCCAAACAGAATAAGTAACACTTAGAGAAAAGCAAAATCAAAGTGCTCATCGCAACATGTTTGCTGCAAAGAAGTTGCAGCAGTATCCACTAATATTGAATCAGAATAATTCAATAAAACTGAAAGACAAACTCATTTCTTCAAAATTCATATGGATCATTACCACAATCAGTATTGATGTAAAGTTGGGTTCCAAGTTTCAGGACTTCTTTTGAACACTATCATGGTCAAGTTAATACAGGTAGCTGAATCAAATGAATGCAGGTACTCACAGGTCTTAAAAAATCAACATGATCAACTTCCAGAAAGCAAGGCACCAGTCCAGCGAAGGCATAAGCAGTTGAGAATGCTAACTCAAATGCTCGATGCATCAAAAACCCTCCAAAGATACGACCATGGATGTTCCTTTGCTGTGGCTGGCAAACTAAAGAGTTCTCAAGTCGGGTATCTCTTAGAAGAATGCTGTTTCTGTCTGCCAAGGCTGGCATGTCACAAAATATCCTACCCTCAGCCAACAATGCTTCAAGTCTACTTATCTCCCCATTCTCTAATTCTTTTCTATCTCCTCTCTTTCTTTTCCTCAATTTGTTTCTAGCTTCAGCTTCTTCAAACAGAAACTTCTCACGCTCAGTTTGTGGGGATATCCGGTTAACTGGAGCAGCTTTTCCAGTCTCTGAGTCACGTGCCACAAATATGAAGTTGGCTGTCAGAACTAGAGAGTCAGAAGCACCAGAGGCCTCTGCAAGATAGCAATCATAACAAGTCATTCTTAGTTATCTTAAAGCTATTAAGTCATAACAAGAGCAAAGGACTAGAAAAAAATGAATAAACTATTAGTGTCATAGACCAATGCTCACTTTCTGATCTTTATTGGCTACAATACTTTATAAGGTATCATCAGTAAAACTTTAAGCAAATCCAATGCTGAATTTCAATTAGAAATGCTATTATATCTCCACATGAGGATATAAAACTTTAAGCAAATCCAATGCTGAATTTCAAGAAATGCTATTATATCTCCACATACTCAAACGAGGCAAATTCTACTACTGGATACCTAACTAAAGTTTAAAAGAAAATCAACGGATTCTTCACAGATGTTTGTTTAAATATATCTGATTAACTACCTTTTGTGGACTGAATGACATCAAGCTGAATTTCAATAGATGACCGACCAACCCATATGACAGTACCAACTATTTTCAGATCGAAGTCAACACTAATCGGCTTCTTCAGTACAATCTTGTCAACTGAAGCAGTAACCACTAAAAGCGGCCTTGTGATGCTATCATCATTGGAGCAATGCTAATTCACCAACAAAGAGAAAATCATCACAGGAAAGCTCAAGAGTAATCATGTTCAGTTTGGATAAATGCACACAAAGCAAGCACATGAGATGTAGTCCATTTTGAAATAACTTTCTTCAAATTGCACAAATCAACAACTCATTACCTAATGCTCAAGCATTTGCATGAAAAATCCCAAATTCAAATACTACACAAAACCATGTGACATCCATTTCTGCATTCAAAGCTCACATATTCAAAATCATTATACAATCATATAAAAAATTATAAGTTATCAACAACATACCAAACAAAAACTATCAGTTTAACATTATTCACAACTCACATCTACAAAATAGACTCAATCACCAAACTTTAAAAAACAAGCCTACATAACAAACTCCTGAAATAATTATACCTTAACCGAAATGGTACCGGCCAAAGCATCAAGATCCTCAAGCAACATCCCAATCCTGACCTCATTCCAAGGATCTCTATATTGCTCTCTTAAAGTATAATCACTAGAAAAGTTATACAAAATACTGGTCCTGCTTTGTGAAGGAGTTTTGGTGAGCAATTCACTTTGTGGGGGAGCATCTTTTGGTGGGTCAAGGAGTGTTTCAAAAATTTGAGACCTTGCTTCCCACAAAGCATTTGTGACAGGTGAATGGTACATTCCAGGCCATAAACTTATAGGCTTTTTGTTGGCTTTGGGGTCTGGAGAAGACTTGTCGAATGGTGAAGCAAATGTTGAGAAAACAGGGATGGTTTTTGGAGATGAGGAATTGTTGAACTCCATTTTGGTGGGTTTGTGGAAATGGGTTTGTCAGAATTTTGAGCGTTGACTTCGATTGATGATCAGAGTTGGGTTCTTTTAAAAGGAAAGGAGGAAATTTTGTGTAAAAGCCGATGTCGGTACCGAGGTTGTGGCAAAAATGTTTTCTTGTTGGCTGGTTAAAGGTAGTTTTTGTGATGAAGCAGAGGAACTTAGAAATGAAAACAATTAAATGTGAGTAATAAATTGGCCGAGTTATTTTTTTACCCTATATTTATTGAAAGTCCCGTCGATACCCCAAATATAGAAAACCATCAACATTTTACCTATTTTCGGGGTTTTAAGATATTTTTAAAACCGAAGTAATAAAGTTCGATTTTATTAAAAAAGAAATTAGTTAATTTTACATATACACTCAACAAAGAAAGGTGAAGTTAGTCCCTAAAATTCATTATAATATAGCTAAACTACAGGTGGCAATGGGCCGTACCGGCACAGCACACAATTTTTTTAGCATTGTCCACCATGGCACGACACGAAAATTTCGTGCCGTGTCATGGCCCGTGGACCATGTGGGCCGTGTCATGGGTTGGGGATTTGGCATATGGTCCGGCACAGCACGTCCGACGAATTTAAAAAAAATAAAAAAAATTCAAATGTAGCCGCTGCAATGGGCGAAATTTCTGACTTCACATATAGTCAACAAAACATGAGAGATTATATAGTTAGGTATGTTGTCACAACCGATCAACTTTTTTCATTTGATGATGATACTATTTTAGAATGATTTATGCAAAGTAGTGTACAGTCTACTTTTAGAAGAGTTCTTAGAAACACTTTAAGATATGATGTTATTAGAAATTACGAACAAATGAAATTAAATATTATAAAAGAACTTAGGAAATTTAATGGAGTTATTTCATTTACTTTTTATTTATGAACGTCTAATAATCAAGATTTATAATATATTTGTACAATTAGTCATTATATAAATTCAAATTGGCAACTACAAAGAAAATTCTTGCATTTCTTGCTTTAGAATATCCACATTCTGGCAGCACAATTTATGATGAATTAACTACAATCTTTAGAGATTATGAAATAAAAGATAAAATTTTCTCTATTACATTTGATAATGCAATAACAGATGATAAAGTTATTGAGTTAATGTTACAATGTAATAATTTTACCTTATGAAAGTAGATTATTTCATATTAGATGTGTGTGTCATATAATAAATTTAATTGCACAAGATGGATTAAAATTAGCTCAAAATGAAATATCTCTCACTAGGCATGCAATTACTTTTATTTCATCATCTCTTTCACGTTTACAACATTATTGTAAATCATGTAAAGAAACGAAATTAAAAAAGAGAAAATCGAAACTGGATGTGAAAACTCGTTGGAACTCTACATATTTAATGTTAAAATCTTGTGAAGGTTATGAAAATGCTGTTATACAATTTTATAATACAAAATAAAAGGATCATGTATTGACTCGATATCATAAAAATATTGTATTTTCCTTAATGAATATTTTAGAACCTTTAAATAATGCTAAGGATCAATGTTTTGGTATTTATTATCCTGCAACTTGCTAAACGTTATATTGTTTAGTAGAAATTAGTTTTATTTTTAAAGAAAATAGAATGAATGAAAATTTCGGACATGTTGCAAAAACAATGGAAGGAAAATTTAGAAAATATTGGGAAAAACCAGCTCTACTGTTTGCATTAGCTACTGTAATGGATCCTAAGGCTAGTTGCTTCACTTCTCCACTATTCCACTCAGTCACTTCATCAATTATTTCCTAGTTTCTAGTTGTTTGTTTCTGTATAAATACCGTTTTAATTAATGATCATTGAGATTGATATTATTTTGGAGTTTTGTCCTCTCTATATGACTGGTTTATTGGTTGTAATTGTGTTCTAAGATTCTTGCATGATTTGCTGCCAATATAAGTTTCAATTGTTTCACATCATTATTTCTTTTAAAATTCTAGCCCTTATCATTTTGGTATCGGAGCAGGTTGATCCATCATCGTGGTTCAGACTAGATCATCTAATATCCAAAATGAACTAGCCAATCCAAACACCAACCCTCCACCAGCCGACCCAAATTCTAATCAGTTTGCTCAACAATTATTAGCCATCGCTTCCAAATTAAACACCTTAGACTCTCTAGCAGCTGAAGTAGCATCACTGAAAGCCCAATCCAATGGGGTTCCACATGGCGAAACCAGTCATGGTCTATCCAACAAAGAGAAAGGCAAAGACAGAAGATTTGCTTGGTCCGAAGCGAGAAGATTGTTGAGGAACTCCAACTCCCACTTCAATTTGTTCCTTCTTTCGGAGTCCAAATCGGCAATGGGGATGTAATCCGCTGCAATTGTATTTGTCGGGATCTCTTTGTGCAACGTCCAAGTTTGACAATTACTCAAAATTATTACCCAGTCTCAGTTGGAGGGGCTGATCTGATTTTGGGAATCCATTGGCTTGCCTCCTTGAATACGGTACAAGCTAATTGGAATGAGATGTTTTTAATCTTCAACTTAGACGGCAAGAGATATAAGCTCTAAGGGGTCCCTCACAAAGCGCAAACTGAAGCTACTTTTCAATTCATTTCAAAGCAGAACAAAATATCAGGTAATCATCCTATCCAAAAGTTAAATATTCAAAGTCGACTAGCCACTTTTGAATCTATCTTTTAGGAACCGAATACCCTTCCTCCTTTTCGCAATCACACTCTGTCAATTCCATTACTTCCAAATTCCAAACCATCGAATGTCTAACCTTATCAATATCCCCATTTCCAAAAAACCGAAATTGAAAAACAGGTCTTAGACTTATTGCAATCAGGTTTATCTACCTAAGTTCTAGTCTTTACGCCAGTCCCTTCCTTTTAGTCAAGAAAAAAGACAATACTTGGCGAATGTGTGTTGATTACCGAAGCCTAAATCAAATCACCATTCCTGATAAATACCCCATGCAAACAGTGACAGACCCAAGATTTTTGCCCGGAGGCCCCCTGTGGCTTTGCCATTGCTTGTCATTCAACTAATGAAAATACAAGGAAATAACATCCAATTCACAAGGAAACACAAGAAAATTTTTACATGGAAAAGTCTCTTCAATGTGAAGAGATAAAAAAAACCACAGGAATCTAACGATCCACTTAAATTCAATATATTCAAAAGAGTTTACAGCAACCACAAATCCACCAAAAATATTCTACACAAATTTAGAGCTCAATCATAACTCTAACAAAAGTAAAATGCACAATGGTTTAGAAAGAGATGGATTACAATTACTCCAAATCCATATCCAGACGTTAACATTCCAACTCAACTGTCTAGATTAAAGATCCACACATCCTCTGCGTATTGACCCAAAAATTAAGTTAGAATGGTATACCTAAAGATCTAAGTAATATGAATATTGATTATTTAAGATGAAAGCAAGTTAGAATAGTAAACCTGAAGATCTTCAATTTAACACGATTTTCTGTTTCATTATGTTCTGAAAATGTTCAATGATATCTTCATTTTGAATTGTAACAAAAACTTCATTTTCAATGTAAATTACTAAGAAATTATTCATCCACTCATCTCCCATTTGATTATGCAAAGTATTCTTAACAAGATTCATAGCAGAGAACACCTTTTCAACTGTTACAGTAGCCATGAGCAAAACCAATTCTAATTTAATAAGCAAGAAAACTTTGTCGTAAGCAATATCTTTATTAAACACAACCATTTTTGCAAGATTGGCAATCCCATCAACATAAGTGAAGTTGGCATTGGTGCTAACATCCTCATAATAGTTTCTAAGTTGATTATCGAGCAACCAAATATCGTGTTGAGGAAAATCGGCAGGATAGAACTTTGCAAACTCAAGTAATCTATCTTTGTTAAATGCAGCAAAAGAGTTACTTGGATCAAGAGATGTCATACACTGAAGCAACCTCATTTTTACTTCATCAAAACGATTATTGAGTTCTTCTTGAATGTTATCTAAAATTGTGTACGTCAATTACATCTTAAAATGATGTTTATTCGTAATTGGCACAATCCCCCGTTTTGTCCTCCCAAAATTATCTTCCATGTTCTCCGGGATTGGTATGTCATTACCTTTACGCAGGTTATAAACTTCTTTTAACAATATGTGGAAGCAAGTATCTTCATTTCTCAATTTATGCAATCGACACTTCGAAATTTGTACAAACTGCATGACATTAAAAAGATCTTGATCTTTTCTTTGTGATGCTTGTGACAGTTCATATGTGATTCCCAATACTTTCTTCATCAAGAATAATAAAAAGACGAATTCAAAATTCTCCATAATTCGTAATAAACTCATTGCTTGACTTTTGTTTTGCCAATCATCTCCTTCAATCTCAATCACTCTGAGCACACCAACAACAGAAGAAAATAAGTTTATGACACTATGAATTGTCCCTATGTGTGAACCCCAACGTGTATCTCTTGGTCATTTAATAGTACATTCTTGATTCAAACCGCGTCCCATCTGAAGATCACCATTAGAAATCAAAGATATCACATATTCATACTGTTTATCACGTAGAAGATCTCTGCGCTTGCAAGATGCCGTTACAGTGTTTGATAACATAGAAAGAGTTTGAAAAAATTCACCCAATATAGAATGTTAACTTACAACTTTGACTAACGCTAGTTGGAGTTGATGAGAGAAACAATGAATGTAGAAAGCTGATTTATTTTCTCTCAATATCAAAGTCTTCAAACCATTGAACTCACCACTTATATTGCTTGCTCCACTGTAACCTTGCCCCCGTAAACTTGTCAAACTCAATCCATACTTTACAAAAAAGGCATCTATTGCAATTTTCAAAGACTTTGCAGAAGTATTCTTAACATGCACAATCCCAATAAAATGTTCAATAACACAACCTATTTTGTCCACATAGCAAAAAACAATAGCCATTTGTTCTTTCATTGCCACATCACGAGATTCATCAACTAGTAAAGAAAACGGTTGTTTATCTCTCACAATTTTTGCAATAATTTTCTTGGTCGTCAAATGAGTACAAACAATAGTTAGTTACCTCTAGGTTTTGGGGGTCGTCATTTGATGGTTTTTCGGAGCATTTCCTAGCACAACTTTCTTTATGTCATCATTATGATTTGATAGAAACTTCAATAGTTCCATAAAG